TAGCACTGTGACTTCTAAGGCAAAATATTTCTGTCTGGTTTTATTGGAACATTTGAAATATGGGCATGGCTACCATGCTGGGAGGAAGCCTAGATGCCACACTGACAGGCCACATGTAGCCACATGTTCTGCTTATAACCCCAGCTGAGGTCCCACCTGTTGGCCAATAGCAACTGTCAGCCCCAGCTGACATAAGTGGACCAGAGAGCTGCTGTCCCCGCAGAGCCCTGACCAAGTTACAAGATAAATGTGGTTTTGAGTATTAATATTCAAGCTGGTTTCCTGGGCAGAAGGATGTAACAGAGACCTGAATAAATCCGACATTCCTGGAATCTGTGCATGGCATAATAAAATGAGAACAGAAAATGTGTCAGGTAAATACATTGATGCAGAAGACTGTTTCATTATCTGGGCTATCTGAATCCATATTCCTTCTCTGGGAGGAAAGAAATGTCATTCAGATACTCGCATCCAGTAGGGGAGATTTCAGTCTTCAGTACACTCTGTTATTTGTCCTTCACTGTCAGTTGTTACCCATCTTGTCAGGTGGCCCTGTTACTTTTGCCCTAGCATGCCAGCATTTTTGCTCCAATGCCTTATGGACATCTCTGTGGGGAATCACTTCCCATTTGGTGAATTCTTTATGTCCTCTGGACTTTGTAAAAATATAGAGTTCATTGAACACAATGCTTCTTGTTCTCCTTTAAGAAGTTCATGGATACTGTTAAAAAGGAGATATGGGGGAATTTAAAAAACTGGAAATAATAAGCCAGCTGCATTAGAGAATCCATCAAAAAGGTCAAAGCCACACAATGTGCTAGTACAAGTCATCAGTTAGATAAAGTATTCAGCCCTTCTGCCTTAATTTTTTTTTAACCTGAACTTTAATGAGAATGGAAAGGGCATGATAAGAAACATTTCTTCTAACAAAGATTGCAAAAAGGGAGAAAGATTAGGTGATGGAGCCCATTCTGATGAATAGGTTGCTGGTACACTTGAGTTCCTCTGGATCTCCAGGCCTCCAATATTATTATTCTCTCCTCTCAAAGACTATGAAAAGCTCAAATCATATTGTTTAATGAATAGTAGCTGTAGAATTACAGGAAAGCACAACATGAATCCTAGTATCTAATGTGAAAGAAAAAGGTGAGTATCTGAATAATAATGTCTTTGTGCAAACTGACAGGATTCTCATTTCTTTGCTAATAACATGTGAAATCCTGATTTCACTTTTTCTTTCTATATACACAAAAGGCTTGTTGAAAGCAGAAAGCCAATATTAAAAATCTTTTGTTGTTATTGATGTTTTTGTTGTTATTTTCTCCCTATACTGGAAAGACTTGTGTTGATTCTTAAATACAGTGGGCTTAAAAGATCCCTATTATGATGAAGTGGGTGTCTTTGTGGTCTTGTGGGGATAGTATCTAGGTAAAAGACAGAGAAAAAAAATTGAAATGGTGCTTTGGCCACACACAGATCCAGCCATTGACTCAAATTGGCAAAACCAAAGCAGTGTAGCTCACAGGAGATCAGTGTTCACTCCCAGAGCTCCAGCTTGCTATTTGGAAAAAATATATATATAGTGTTGGAGAAACTTGAATTATATACCAGTTAGGTATAGGCACTTAACCAGCAGATTGGGAGCAGAGAGGACAGAAGGAGCCAGGGTGTCAAAGACTTCACTGGTGTTCAGGGCATGTATTAACCCATTTTCACACTGCTGATAAAGGCATGCCCAATACTGGGTAATTTATTAAAAAAAAAAAAAGAGGTTTAATGGACTCACAGTTCCATGTGGCTAGGGAAGCCTCCCAATCATGGTGGAAGAGAAAAGGCACATCTTACATGGTGGCATGCAAGAGAGAACGAGAGCTAAGCAAAAGGGGAAACCCCCTTTAAAGCCATCAGATCTGTTGAGACTTATTCACTTTCACAAGCACATTATGGAGAAACCATCCCCATGATTCAATTATGTCCCACTGGGTCCCTCCCACAACATATGGGAATTATGGGAGCTACAATCAAGATGAAATTTGAGTGGGGACACAGCCAAACTATATCAGGACATTACTTAGGTATGTTTCCTGTGACAAAGTTGGATGTATTAACTTGATAAGTGTGTGAGTATAAGCATGGGAACCCAGTAAGCCCATTCTTGGGTATTCCAGGAGCAGAGTAAGGCTCTCAAGGGATTCAGATTATAGGGCTTTGTTTGTCTAGAACTCAAAAGTTGGAGATGGGTGAAGACTGCCTTCAAATATGTAGGTCAAGGGTGACAAGACAGAGACAGGACAAGATGGATACCAAGGCAATATTCGTGTGAATGAAAGTTATGACAGCATCTAAACCAGACAGGAAAAGGTATGCTTAAAATAGTAAAACAATTTCTAGGTCTTTGAGGAAGCACCACACTGTCTTCCACAATGGCTGAACTAGTTTACACTCCCACCAACAGTGTAAAAGTGTTCCTATTTCTCCACATCCTCTCCAGCGTCTGTTGTCTCCAGTTTTTTTAATGATTGTCATTCTAACTGTTGTGAGGTAGAATCTCAATGTAGTTTTGATTTGCATTTCTCTAATAATCAGTAATAATGAGAAATTTTTCATATTTGTTGGCATTCCATTTGACCCAGCAATCCCACTACTGGGTATATACCCACAGGATTATAAATCATTCTATTATAGAGATACATGCACACATATGTTCATAGCAGCACTGTTTGCAATAGCGAAGACCTGGAACCAACCCACATGACCATCACCGATAGACTGGACAAGGAAAATGTGGCACATATATACCATTGAATACTATGCAGCCATAAAAAATGATGAGTTTGTGTCCTTTGTAGGGACATGGATGAATCTAGAAACCATAATTCTCAACAAAGTGACACAGGAACAGAAAATCAAACACTGCATCGTCTCACTCATAGGTGGGTGTTGAACAATGAAAACACATGGACACAGGGAGGGGAGCATCACACACTGGGGTCTGTTGCAGGGGACCCAAGAGAGGGACAGCAGCGGGTGGGGAGGTTGAGGAGGGATAACATGGGGAGAAATGCCAGGTGTAGGTGATGGCGGGATGGAGGCAGCAAACCACATTGCCATTTGTGTACCTATGCAACAATCCTGCATGATCTACACATATACCCCAGAACCATATAATTTAAAAAAAGTTAAAAGCTAAAAAGTTTTTTTTTTTTTTAATAGAGGCTGGGCGCGGTGGCTCAAGCCTGTAATCCCAGCACTTTGGGAGGCCGAGGCGGGTGGATCACGAGGTCAGGAGATCGCGACCATCCTGGTCAACATGGTGAAACCCCGTCTCTACTAAAAATACAAAAAATTAACTGGGCATGGTGGTGTGTGCCTGTAATCCCAGCTACTCAGGAGGCTGAGGCAGGAGAATTGCCTGAACCCAGGAGGCGGAGGTTGCGGTGAGCCGAGGTTGCGCCATTGCGCTCCAACCTGGGTAACAAGAGCGAAACTCCGTCTCAAAAAAAAAAAAAAAAAAAAAAAAAAGGTTAAAAACGACAAAAACGACGACGACAACAACAACAACAAAGATACCAAACCTTGAGGAAGCAGACATGATATTGAGAATGTCCCAACAGAAACAATTAACACAAGAATGTTGCTAAAATATGTGTTTAATAGTAATGATTTTTCTAATTTTAATTTTAGAATTGCTTTACTTGCTTATACCTCAAAACCAGGTATAACAGTGCTTTCAGCTACCCAGACAGATGTATTTTTCAAGGCACCAAAGTTGCCCTCTTCTGACTCGTATCTAATTTCAATTTCTGTCACTGAAAACTTCTTTTTTTTAATTTTCCAAATAGCAAGGTGGGGCTCACGTTGGGAGTGGACCTGGTCTTCTCAGAGCAACATTATTTTGGTCCCATTAGTTTGAGTCAGTGGCTGAATCTGTGTGTGGCCAAAGCACCTTTTCAATTTGTACATGATAGGAAATAGAGCATTGTTTTCAGGTAGGAATATTGGTCCATTATTAGGCTATAGAAAGATAGCAGTCATATATCATGTGGCCAGTGGTATTTTTTCCCAGTTCCAGAGGATCATGAAAGAAAATAGCCCTCAGTTACTGATGCTTTGTGATTCTTTTGTGACTGTTGCTGAAACTAACCAAAACTCATGTCTTGCATTACTTGTGTTTAGTTCTCCAGTTGTTTTATGTGGTTGATATTAAGGGTCCTTTACTCATCCAAGCATATACACTATATATTGAGTATGGGCAGATATATATATATATATATATATACACACACACACATATATATATACACACATACATACATACATATATATATATATATATATGCCAAAATAACTGGTTGTGTTTTAAGATAGACACTTTAAGACGATCCAAATGAGAAATTGAGAAAGAAACCAATATTTATTTGAACACCTGCCAAACCCACTGCTAAACATTTTACCCTGTTTATCATATAAAGTAAATTAGAAATAGCCAGAAAAGATATTTTAAATGCAGTGAGCGGAAAAGTACATTTAAATATATTTTTTCTTATTTACTTCTTGTTTTCTAAATTTCATTTCTCTTAATATTAATTCGTTATTTTTGAAATTGTTCTTTACTGACCACAATTTAGTGTTAGATGGAAACTAAAATAATAGTTAAAATTATCAGCAGCAGCACCATAATAAAACTTAAGGCTGTCTTTTAAAAATAATGCACATAGTTTTTATTAGGAGGGGAAACGAGCATAAAATTTTTTAAAATACTGAGAAACAGTAAAACTATTCAAAAGGGGAAGTAGTGTTTCACTTTCTATACTGAAAATCCACAGGACATAGTGAAAATCTGCCTATGAATTCCAGAGGCCATTTGGGGGAGTCTATTAAAGGGGATATCTACTAACTACCTTGCTCCTCAGCAAGTCTCCAGCCTGTCACTCATAGTACAAGAGATATAAGGAATCTTGTTTAACTTTAGAATCTTTCATGTTTTCTGTCTTCCTTAGGTAGTGCTGGCACTCCAGTGATGTTTAACAAGAACGGGGATGCACCTGGGCGCTATGACATCTTTCAATACCAGACCACAAACACCAGCAACCCTGGTTACCGTCTGATCGGGCAGTGGACAGATGAACTTCAGCTCAATGTGAGTTCTGCTTGCTTCCTTTCTTCCCTTGTTGAGACCAATGAACAGACTTTTAATTTGGTCAGTTAAACAAGTGTTTCTTGTTTAATGTTTGTGTGTATATACAAGAGAGCATGCAATTTGTTGTGGGCATCAGCAGAAACTGATGTCCAATAATAATGATGGTGGTGATGATGATGGAAAATGTGTAAGGAATTTTGTGCATTATATTCATCACCTGTGTGAATTATCTCATTTAATCTGAGACTAGGATTACTTAGCAAATGGATTAGGTGAAATTGTTACCACCTAACAATTTCACAAGATCCTTCTCTTGATTATACTTTTTGTTTCTTCTGCCTCCCTACTGTTTCTTCCTTCCTTTTCCTTCTTTATTTGGTGGTAATGATTTTTTATTATTTTTTCAGACATTTTAGTGTATCATGTTGTGTGATATTTATAATTAAATAATCTAAGTAATTGCAGTGCTAGGCATTTCTGTAACCTCTCTCACTTTCTATAAAATGTGACCTTAAGTAAGCAGCCCACTTCCTTTCACAAGATTATGTCAAATCCATCATCCAGTGTCCCAGCTTCAAAACAATCAGAAATTTCTCTCTTAGCTTTTTGTTCTATTCAGGCCTTGAAATAATTGGGTAAGACTCAGCCATGCTGTGGGAGGGCAATTTGCTTTACTCACCTACTGATTCAAATGTTCATCTAATCCAGAAACTTCACAGACACACCCAGAATATTCGACCAACTATCAGGGCAGTCCATGGTCCAGTCAAGTAGAACATAAGATTAACCACCACAGTCTCCATCCTGGACAATTCCCTTAATGTCTTTTGTAAAGCAATAAATTATATCATTACCCTTTATTATAGGTATCCTATATCTTAGGAGAGACTTTCAGAATTATTGAGAACAAGGCTTCTTGGGTGTAGAAAGCAAATCCATTTCTTGGAAAGTGGAAGGTTATGTTGGGGTTTCTAAGAAGAAATAGTTGTTCACATAGGGAGGGGTGAAGTCACTACAGGCCAGTTACTTCATCTGCACATAGCCTGAGCATAGATCTGCTTGCACCTATCCAGTTCTCTCCATCGTGAGGTGCACCGTACATGTGAACTGGCACTAAAATTGTGTTGAAAGAATTATGCACTGGCGTTCAGGAATGGTTGGAATCAACAGGTACCATCCATTCCTTATATAAATGCAAACGGCCAAAATCAAAAAAGAAGTTAAGATTATTCCAAATCCAAGGCATGCTAAACTTGCAAGTAGAAAGAGAAAATAAAAACAAAACAGAAACCTAAAAGGTAAACTCAAGGGTGTAATCAAAAGCAGAATCAAAGCAGTATATCCTGGGTGACACTGAAAGTGTGTTTTTATTGGGTGCTGCCGTGTGCTGTAAGTCAGCCAAAACTAAAGGTAGAGAGTCAAGGACTATGGTACATAGATGAAGTGCTCAGGGCTTATTGTAAGACCAATTGGATTAAATAGGTTCATTAATCTTTTCCAGCATAAACCCTACACTATTGTTAAATTTCTGGCACATATAATTTGTCCAGTATCTATAAAAGTTCCCAAGTAGCATTCACCAACTTCAGATTGGATCTTACATGGGAGTTCTTAAGCACACTATTTTTGAGAACCAACATGAACACTGATTTATTTTATTATTTTGAGATGGAGTCTTGCTTTGTCTTCAGGCTGGAGTGCAGTGGTGCAATCTCAGCCCACTGTAACCTCTGCTTCCATGGGTTCAAGCGATTCTCCTGCCTCAGCCTCCTGGGTAGCAGGGATTACAGGTGCACACCACCACGTCCAGCTAATTTTTGTATTTTTAGTAGATACAGGTTTCACCATGTTGGGCAGGAGAGTCTCAATCTCTTGACTTGTGATCCCCCTGACTCAGCTTCCTAAAGTGCTGGGATTGATTTTGTTTTTATTAGTTTGGTTTGTATTTTATCCTTTATAAGGATTGCATTTGATTAGCCATTCAACAAGGTTTTGTTGTTTTGTTTTTATATACCTATCATGTTATAATAATTGTGAGAGTCAATGCGTAGGTACATAATGGAGATGAAACAAATGTGGTCCCTATTCTTGCACAATTCAGCATCTAGGATAGAGTTACATGGTACTCAGTAAACAGATATGTACATGCAAATTCTGAAGTGTGATAATCACAAAGGTGGTAGAGAGAATAATAGAGGTAGGAAAGGAAGGACCTTCTACAAGAGAAGCCAGCAATGTGAAAAGTAGAATGACCAGCAGGTCAGATGGCTGATGTGGCAATGGATTAATCAGCAAAGGAGATAAGAGAAAGGGTAAGAGGAGATGTTAGAGCAATAGTTCAGATCATATTCATGCAGCCCCTTATATGTCATGATACATTTTTAAAAATTTGTTCTGAGTGCATTTAAAGACCACTAAAAAGTACTAAGCATGGAAGAAAGGGAGTGGCTGCATCAAATTTGGGAATAAAATTACTGCATTTGCTGGGAAGGTAATGGAGGGGGCAAAAGTAGCAGCAGAAAGACCAATTATGAGTCTGTTGCAGGTGTCTAGCTAGAATAGGGTGGCTAAGTGAGGTGGTTCTCAAACTGCAGTGTACATCAGAGCCCTCTGGAGTGCTTGTAACAGCACATATTACTGGGTCCTACTTTCAAAGAAGATGATTTAGAAGAAATAGAAGTGTAGGAAGCCGCAATATTTGCTTTTTTCAGAAGTCCTTGGGCAATATTGATGGCACTTTGAGAACCTCTGGCTTAGAGACATGTGTGATAGTGAAGACGAAGCCAAATGAATGGGATGTGCATGTGGCATGAGGCACTGTGTGGGTGATAGCAACACATGAAATGAGGGAGGCTGCTGGGAGTGGAATGGAGAAAATCAAGACTTTCAGTTGGGATTCTTACATATGTGAGGCTTGTTACATGTACTATAGCCAAAATGAAGTGGGTATAGGTCTGAAGCTCCGACAATAGTTTTGAGTCATAATTATAAAACAATGTAAACTGTTAACCTATAAATGGACTTTAAATCCATTAGAAAGAGAGATAAGAGAAGAGTAGAGAACCCAAGGCCTTGAAAACCTCATAGAAAATGACATAATTCCAGCCTGGCATGATGGCTCACACCTGTAATCCCAACACTCTGGAAGGCCAAGGCAGGCAGATCACAGGATCAAGAGTTTGAGACCAGCCTGGCCAACGTAGTGAAACTGCATCTCTACTAAAAATACAAAAAATTAACTGAGTGTGGTGGCAGGTGCCTGCAATCCTAGCTACTTGGGTGACTGTGGCAGGAGAATCACTTGAACCCAGAAGGCGGAGGTTGCAGTGAGCCGAGATCACACCACTGTACTCCATGTACTCCAGCCCCTCTAAGTGTCTCTCTTTCTCTCTCTCTCTCTCTCTCTCTCTCTCTCTCTCTCGCGCGCGCGCGCGCAAAAAACAAAAACAAAAACAAGCACCCTGTTTAAAATATTCTGGCCGGGCGCGGTGGCTCAAGCCTGTAATCCCAGCACTTTGGGAGGCCGAGGTGGGTGGATCACGAGGTCGAGAGATCGAAACCATCCTGGTCAATGTGGTGAAACCCCGTCTCTACTAAACATACAAAAAATTAGCTGGGCATGGTGGCGCGTGCCTGTAGTCCCAGCTACTCAGGAGGCCGAGGCAGGAGAATTGCTTGAACCCAGGAGGCGGAGGTTGCGGTGAGCCGAGATCGCGCCATTGCACTCCAGCCGGGGTAACAAGAGCGAAACTCCGTCTCAAAAAAAAAAAAAAAAAAAAAATATATATATATATATATATATTCTGTTTAATTATCCCAGAGAGTTGGGCTAACATATACCTTTGATTTTTTCAATTTTTGTTTGTGTTTATGCTAGTTAAGTCAGGGACTTATTTTTGGCTTGAAACTAAGTGGGAGCATTCTTCATTCTACTTTGTCATGCTGAGATTGATGTGTTAGGAAAAACAAGCACCCTCAGGTAGATGTAGTCGTTTGTACTTGGTATTGCATAGGAGTGAATGACAGCCATGAAAGGGTCATTTTTAGAGGGATAAGAGGATAGGTTTAATTCAACGTGTGGCTGCTGAGATAACTGAACTTGGTAGGATGTCACCCTGTTGGAACCTTTTATTGTGAAATTCCATTTGAATTGTACACACGGGGTTAAAAAAGAAAATAAAAGTTGAGTAGAGTACTTAGAGGGTACCTTAACCCTCTCAGCTGGGAACCTAGAGCCACAGCCCAGTTGTCCTATCCAGTGGTTCCCTGCTCTCCAACATCATCCGGCCCTTGATGTTCCTTTTGCTGTGTTATTTGTTAAAGGTACTGTAAATGGTCTTTATAGTTTGTAAATCTGTGCAAATAGTTCTGTAGATTTGCTTTCTCGTAGTCAACGGAACAACAAAAAAATGTATTTCAAGTAAAGAGTGTATGTCTCCTCACAAAGATTCATGGGTACTTTTTCAGTTCTCAGTTACATCTTCTTCAGCAAACGAAATTTTCAGGAGTAGCTTTCTCTGTGGTCAGTAATTGCAAATGAATTTCTGAGCCAAGAAATCAGTTATACATTCTTAGAATTCCAGCTCTGTAGATCAGACTGCTCCACTGTTCCGCATGCAATTTCTGGAATTCAGGTGCCTAGCAGTGTGCTGTCTTATGTAGAATGTCTCATGTACCCTCACTACCTGTCTCCTTTGTGGCCCAAGAGATGACTGAATGGTTGGCTACTAGGATATTTCTGCTGAACAAGAATTCTGTGGAAGGAAATCATAACCAACAAAACCATTCACTCTTCTAATTGTAACGTCTACAGAAATAACCCTAATTTAATTGCTTAGGTTTCTAATTCAGCTATCTAGAGATTTTATAAAATACTCTTCCTGGGAGAAAGAAGCAGCAACAGTGCAACAAACATGATTGCAGAAGAGATAATAGCTTGTGGAGATATTAGAATAAATACGAGCAGATCCTGCACTCCAAATTCACAGTCTAGGATAAGG